TACTGGATTGCAATGTTTCTGAGTTAGGTATAGGTATCTTTGACCCTGTCAGGCTCCTTAGAAACACCAGTAGTGCCAGAAGACTGCAGATGTTACCAAGTATGATAGGTGAGATAACATAAACTGGACATTCCTTGTGTCCCAATTCTTTTGCTTTCCTGCAGAAATCTGTCTGCACAATCCCTCCTAGGAGGCCATAGATTTTTTTCTGATTGAAACAGGAGTGAGGCAATAGGCGTGGTATTTTAGTTTGTGCACTAGCTTCAATCCTCTATCATAGGATTTCTCTTAAAGAACTTGATAAACTGAGATAATTGAGGATTAAAGTGCAATATGGGCAATGAATAATCAATATCAAAGCAGACAAGTTAATTCAACCACTGGAGACCTTTAAAAGAATCATTCATTTTGGGACATATAAACTGCTCTATTAAAATTGTAATAAATAAAGGAATAGAAGACTTTAACTTCTGTAGGTGTTCAGTCCAAAGATATACAGCCTTTCAATTTTGACTCTGCAATGGTACTCCTCTAATACTCTTCAGTCTCAAGTTGTGCAGCCCATGCAATTAGTCATGTACTGTTTTAAAGACTAAGTTTATGGTTTCAGCTGGTTTCATTCTACAAACTAGTAGAGTTTTAAGTGATTCTGATGTGTTACTCCCATTTAGTTTAAAGCCTATGGTCTAATCATGTAGATGCTTACTCGAGTTTACTTTCAATTGAACCAGTCTGCAGTGGTTATATAGCCACAGTGAACTTTGTGTTCACTTGTAAATATTTACAGATCTGAGCTCATATTTATAATACAAATGCAGAAGGAGAATTATGTTCTATAGAATATTAATCTGTAACCAGAAAAAAAAGGGGGATAGCTGAGCACTAAAATACTGCAAACTTTGTGAATGTTTTAAAGTGTTTGAAGTTCTGTTTCTCACTTACTTTCTGATTTGATACATGTTTTCATCTTGTAATATCCTTCAGTTATAGTGCTAGTGGAGACAACAAGATAATAATTAAAACAGTGTAGTTCATCGAACAGTACTCCAATTAGATAAATACTGGTTTGCCTGCCTTATATTGTGGAATTAAAATTTCACTTGTCTAAGGAAGTCTTTCGTAAACTTGAGATTGCGCTTTGAGAGGATTTCTTGTTAAAATAAACAGCGTGATCTGCAGAGGGCTCTCACTGTTAAGAACCACTTTTAAACAGTCACCATCATTTCTGCAGTGTCTTTAGAAATGTAATTGGACAGATGGATGTGCTGGATTGGCACTGTAAGTGTCTTTGCGCTGAGAATAGTATCAATAGCTATTAATAACTTTGAAAGACTCTCCAGATAAATTAGTGAGTAGTGACCTTATAGCTAAGGAATACATACGTTGTTAAAGTAAAAATAAAGACTTACTAAGTATTGATTTTTGAATCTAATCTGAATGTAGTGAATTTCAAAAGTAATATATTTCAGTTAGGTAATATTGTCTCTAAAAATAATATTAAAACAGAGGTATTCACCGTTGCACTGTTTCACGATTTCTCCTGACGAACGTAGGAGCAACTGTGCTATGCATTTGTTTGCTTATTTTTAAAGTTTGTACTTCTTGAGAGAAAAAAAAATTATAGGCTCAGTAATATGCAGAAATTTAACCATCTAAAATCCCCTCTATTGGAAAGGAAACGCTAAACCACATTTAACAGAAACATCTGCATATTAAAAAACTTACAGTATGTTTCACAGAAGTTTCTTATGATTTTTAACTCTAGATCACCATCAGTGCAGTCTTACTTATTGAAATTTATCTTCATTTGCCTTCCATATTTCAATATAGGTTAATTATGTCCTCTTTGCACATTACCAGGTAGGATATTCAGTCCTTTTCACTGGTCCTGCTCTTGTTCTTGCTTTGAAGGAAGAAATCAGAGGGGTTTCTGTGTGTATTTCCTGTTAAATGCCCCATGTAAATAATTAAATCCTGCAAGGGTAGGTGCCTCAGGGCAGTTTCAAATTTTGTGTATATATATATATATATAAAAATAAAGACATATATGTTCTTCTGTTTCTAGTCTTCTCTTTGCAATGTGAAACTTTAAAATGTATATACACAAAATGACAGGAACACCTTGTGTATGTAAGTATTTTCTATTCTTTCCTTACATATCAGTAATTTTCTACAGGAACATGTTAGCAGCTGCCTACTCTGGACTCACCTTTACTATTGAGTGCAACTTTAAATGTTTGTTTTAAAAGTTCTCCCACTTTACAAAAAAAGAACTGTACTGCAGGCCGTGCCATCACAACAGCCATTTTATTTGTGATCGAATTAGAATCTGGGTCTTAGGATTTGAAAGACAAACGCATTAATCCCCTGAAAGATTCAGTCAGTCTCTGTCAATTCTAATCAGGTAAAGGCATTGGTCATTTTGCTTCAAAGCAGTTGGAGGGATTTTTTAATTCAGGGAGCTGGCCTTTTTATTTCAGCTTATTTCATCTTTCAGGTAATAATGTACCTATTTCTTGTGAAGTACTGCAGGATTTAATACACTCATATGTCCCCTTAAACTATCACAGTTCTCTGTAATTTGCAGAAATCATTTGTGGTCATCAACACCAGCTAGTAAGTAGGACACAACATTATACTATTTTTGATAAAACGGGGTAGGAGAGAGGGGGGTGGTGGAGTAGCTTGGGAGGTTTGTCACTGAAGCAGATGACTTAAGGGATTGAATTTATCTTGGTTTGAAAGAGGGTGTCTGAAAAGAAGTTTGGAACAAGGGTCTGCAGGTAACTCTGTTTTCTTTGTAGAACACAGACAAGCAGGCTCGCCTGGTAAACTAAAATTAAATTGGTTTTGTAATACCTTCTGTGCAACAAGAACGGTGCATGGAGCTGATTTAAAACTGAACAAGTTACTTTGCATTACCCAGGCAAGATCTTGTGATGAACAAGTTTCTAAATCTAGCAAGTTCTGGGATGAATAAGTAGCATGTTTTCTGATGCCACAGTATTAGTAAAAAAAAAAATCATGTGCAGAGTCTCCTAAATGGCCTTAAAATAAATGCAAAGTGTTGTTCTTAGTTAGCACAGTAGGAATTAGAATAAACTTTTTGACTGTTGATATGCTTCTGTTATGGCCAGGATGTACTCCAGAACTGAATCGCCTACTGTATTCCCTCTCGTACAGGCATTTTGTGTTCAAAGTGTAATTAATTGTTCCAGGAGAGCTCAGGCCCCCAAAATTCCAATGAGAGAGATTCCCTGGGCAGTATGTTATGCAGCCTGTATCTGTAAGCTATGCTTTTCTTGCAAATACTTTAAGACTTGTCTCTGAGGTGTGGTGGCACGCTGTCCAAGAACCCTGTGGAGAGGGAAAGTAATAGGCTTGAAACCATGACACAGGTATGGAAGTGTAATGGCAGCTGCCCAGGTGCTCTTATGTTGTTGTCAGAGTTCTTTAAATATATCTCCTGGTTTTCTCCAGTTAAGTTCTTTAATTTGTAGTATTTGTGGAAAGTAGGTGAATGAATTGTTTACAGTGCTGATGAAGCATGAGGCAAAGCCCACTTGCAGCTGGGGTTTCATAAAAGTTGTCCCTTTGTCTTTTCTTTCACCTCCTAGTGAATCCTCATTCTTCCCTCCAGAAATCTTTATCTCCTGCCACAAAAAGAAATCTGGAATAGGTCATGGTTTCCTATTTTCAGCAGTGGATGGTAATACTCAGCTCCTGGGTAAAATTCAAATCTTCCTTTTTCATGTTTTTCGTATTGTCACTGTAACATTCAGGATACCAGGAAACACTGAGTTAGAAAATAGAAGATGGGTTCTCTAATATGTCCTTGCCTCTTTATATTGCTTAGTGCAAGAAGGCTGGGAAAGCAACCAGGTCTCTTGCTTCACCTGCTCTGAACTCTTTGCACACTACAGTGTCTGAAGTGAGGTGCGGATTTGATTAAAGCATGTGACACATTGGCTATTCCCAGAGTTGCCTTTTAATTAAGAAGTGATGCCTTTCTTCTTGCTTGGTGGAGATGAGTCTTTGCCCATTACTTCTTATCAGGTGGATGATGAGGTTCTCCATTTCTCTTGGCTTTTAAATGGTGTTATCTTTTATTTTTAAATTCAGATTGGTAGAGCAATTCCTAAAGGCAAACAGGAACTAAAGTGTAAGGGAGATAGCAATGTAACAATTGCGACACAGCAGTGTGATTTCAGCTTCTCTGAGGTCTGGAAAATGGGCCTGTTCCTTTACATCCCAAGATGCTACACTGTACTATAAAGCAATCATTCTCATGTTTGTTACAGAGAGTACATTATATTGTAATAGAAGTGTCTGTTCCAGGGACTTACTGAAAAGTAAGAGGTAACTAACTGTCTTTTCACACTTTCTTCAATTCTGTTTCACTGCTTGTGTTTCTACAGCCAATCTATCTGAATTTTTTGCCACTCCTCCCTGTAGTCTTTGCCCTACCTTGCCTTTGGCTTCCGTTGGTGGCTGCGGTCGCAAAGCTGGCTCCCGTCATTCTGTCAGCATCAGCCTTACTGGAGATTTCCATGCATCAGGATGACTTCTGTCTTCTGGTATTAACAGCCATAATGAAAGCAGCTAGGCTGGTTTCTCTTTCTTCTTTTCCACTTTGTTGTAGGCCTCCTAGCTTCTTACTTGCAATGTGCAGATCAAGTATTGTTAAATCAACTCGAAGCAAAAAGAGTCAGTGCCATGCACACTGTCTTTCTGTAGATTACAGTATGGGTTGTTTACTAGCAATAGAGGGTCTTATGAAATCTGTTCCTAACGAGACTCTAATTTATGATCTTAAGGGCAACCAAGGAAATGAGAAAGAAGTGGAGGAGGAGTAATGGCAGTGCTGTTCTGTACTTTACTCATTGCATAAGAGTTCCTTATTTTGTAGATAAGAAGCATTTTCTAATTTACCTGTTACTGTGCCTGGGGTGAGGAAGTAATTTATGGTGTAGGGTTTTTTTCACTGACTTTGGGTTACCATGAAGAAAAACAGTTCTCCAAAAGAAACTTGTCCTCTAGGTAAGTCTGGGGGCCACTGCATTGCTATTCGTGAGGTTTTTTCCCTCAAACGACTGAAGGCAGATGTTTTAGGTGTCTGAGCTTCCCAAAGAGCCCTCGAGTGATTTCCATCTGAACTCCAACTGACCTAAGCAGCTGGAAGATAATCCAGTTAGTATCGAAGAGCTGTGCAGGATCTGAAGTTGATAGTTATGGAATAGTTACCTTTTATCTCTTGCTATAACTAGAGATTAACCTTTATATGGGGGCTGGAGGAACACAGAGTACGGAGGTGTCACTGTAGTCTCTCCCTTCCCTGCTCTGTAGCACTGACATCTTCTAATCCTAGATGTCACTGGTTCATCAGGCTAAGAGTGCTTTTTTTAAATACAGATCCAGAACTTAATATAGCATATTCTGGGCCCTAGAGTACGTGTAACTCGGGATCCTATGAGTCACTGAAGGAGACTGTAAATAAAACCTTTGTCTCTTATATGGCAGCACAGATTACTTTAACTAGTACCATCCTTCTAAACTCTTTTATTTAGTTGTTTTCCAGTAATGTTGTTAATATTCTGTCTGAAACATATAAGCTTGACCTACATCAAATAGCACAGGTTGTATGATGCTAACCAAGTACCTTTATAAAATTAATTGGAGGCCTTTTAGTGCCTAATTTTAAACTAATAAAAGCTATTCATTTTATCAGTATTCTGCCAAATTTGTGTATCTTTCATTTGCAGTGGTGTTGAGTATTTGGTTTCATTGCCGCTGCAGTCACTGTTCATCATGAGCAAAATTGGTTTTTGAGGGGATTAGTAGGTTGCGTTTGGGCTCATGTGATTCTGTTTGCTTCGTTGTTTTGGAGTGTAGAACTGGACAATAGAACTTGCATCATATAATGAATGCATGAGGTAATGTGAAAACAGTGGTGTGTTTTTTGGGGTTTTTTTTAAACCTTCCTAGAAAGAATGAGTGTATTGTGTTTCTATCATCTGATACAGGTATTCCAGGAGAGAATAATGCTTAACAAATGCAATGCTTAAAATGATGATGAAATATATTTTGTTTAGACCTTGTTGACTCCTTCTGTTTGCTTCACCCCCCCCAGACAAACGTGTTGATGACTGGCCCTTGATGCAGTCTCCATTTCCAACACTGACTATAAGCACTATTTATCTCCTCACTGTCTGGCTGGGCCCCAAATGGATGAAGACAAGAGAGCCCTTCCAGTTACGTTTCCTGTTGGTTGTTTACAACTTTGGAATGGTTCTACTCAACTTCTTCATTTTCAAAGAGGTGTGTATGCCCTCTTGCAGGAGGGAATTCCTATTTAAGTCTGAGGGTGTCTGTGGATTGCAAAATGAAAATTATTTTACATATTCATGATGTCTGTTGAGGGTGAATGTTTTGCAGAGACTTTTAAAGCTGAGTTTGCCTTTGATGTGAGTATTTCTGTAGCTAGGTACATTCTATTTGAGAATAAATGCACTAAATGAGTCTATACAGAGAATTTGTGTAGGGGCTATTCCAAGTTCTTCTTAGATCCATGTTAATGTAAATACTGGACACATTAACTAAAATCCATAGAGATTTAACACTTGTAACTGGTTTGTTTTTCTTGTTGTTTTTTTAAAATAATCCTAAAGGGTGTCAGAATGTTTCTTGTTAGAAATTGAGCTGTTTGGTGCCTTCAATCCTTCAATCTGTTTATCATTTTTAGAAATTCAGATGTCCACTGTCTGTAGTGAGGAAAAGTATCTTGTCTGTAAGTTATCTTTTAGAATAAGAATAAAAATGAAGTGAACTGTATCTTTACATAAAAATGTACAGGGGTACAGTCTTCTAATATTTGGTTTGCAACACTGAGTATGTTAATTGTAATGAATTTCAATGTTGCTGCATGTGTCCTTTGTTAGGTTTTCTGTACAGAGGAAATTACTAGTAACTATGCAATAGATCATCTTTTTTGCAGTAGCTAAGTGAGGTAACAGTTTGGTAATCATTATTCAAGGATAGCTGTCCAGAATATAGCTGATGCTCAGGGGTAATTTATGCTGCTGTGACTTTGCTCATGTGGATTATTGCAAATGTTCAATGGATGTTTAAGACTGTGGATACAACATTGACAGTAAGTGTCTTTTCTTGATCTTAGAGACTGATAGGAGGAGGGTGTTCAAGTTTCAGTTGTTCACTTTAACCAGGCAACTTCTGCTTCAACCTACATGAGGTTTACAGTACCAGTGTGCCACTGTTGTAATTTGCATGAGTGATGTAATTGTTATGAGTAAAATGATATGCAGTTTGTATTTTGTGAATGGCTGTAAAGTTTCCAGGTATTGCTGAGAACAGAATTTGAATGTGAAATGCCTTTAAATGTTATTTAAATAAACATCCTGATGGCAGGCTGTATTGTTCATCTGTGATAACTTATGTTAAAATGGTAAGTCCATAAAGCACTACTAGGTTGTCTAGTCAAAGACTCTCATACATTGGATTCACATTCAGAGTCAAATTAGGAGGAAATTTTGCTTGGAACATGCAGAAGTCCCAGATGCGTAGCCCCTATTTTGCCACAAAATCTTGAATTTCTTACTCTACTCTACTTTAAGGCAGTCTAGAGAAGTCAATTTAAGTGCCTTTTGCCAAGAGAACCTTGGTCAAATTACCCAGCAGGTCACAGTAGAGATTGGTTCGTTTCTGTAACGGTGCAGATTAAACTGTTCCCTGCTCTTCTCTGATACTGTCAAATGTGCTCGTGCCTGTGTGGGACCACACTGGAGGGTAGTGTTGTTACAGCAGTTTGTGCGTGGACTTGGATGATGCAGAAGTAGTTCCATTTTTTTTCTTAGGATCATTTCTGTGGACAGCTCTTTCCCTTCCCTACTTTAACAGACATGTGCAGGAAATAAGTCAAGAGTTTCACAAGGTTTTGTATGTTGGTTTTATCTGAGTAACACTTGTCTCTGCATCTGTCTACATTCCTAGTGCTGTGTGCAAGTTGAGATACCGAAGTAAACTTGACTTCTGTCTAAATGAGATGGAAGTCAGGTTAGGGGTAAGAATAGTCAGTGCCTGCTTATGTTTATTTTGGAGATCTTTTTGTATCATCCTTCTTTACATTTACAGCTCACAGTTTACAGGTTGTACCTGCTCCACTGCTATCTTTTTGATCCTTAACAGGGTGGGATTACATGATTTTAAACAATCTTGGATCATAACACTTATGAATGTCAAGATTAAAAGTATTACTTGAACCTTGTACAGCTCTAGGCAAGTGTTCTTCTTTCCAATGGGAACTTGCTCAAATGTCAAGTTTATCTTGTGTTCAGGTTATTGCAACGTGCTTTATTTGGAGTGGCCCTACAGGAGCACTTCATGTGCTTTAGGCAATTTCTGTTGGCACAAAATGGGAAACTCTTCTTCATCCAAGTTTTCTCAATATGTTTTATAGGTGCTCAGCATTGGCTGTTCACTTTTTTTTTTCCTGGATTTTGACTGGTATACTGTTTTAAGAATAGTAGATCCAAATTATCTAATCCCTGTCTGTTGGAGAGAGTTCTCACTACTCTAATCCATCGTGGGAATAGCGTTTCTGTCATCCATTAGGTATTTTCAGTCTCTGAAGCTAGAGCTGTTAGAGGGAAGACTTTTATGTTTGTATAGGTCATACTGGAATCCTTACTAATTTGTACAGGGCTCTAATTATCTGGGCAGATACATGCAGGGAAAAATGAATACTTTCTTTTTAATTTACAAGACTAAAATAGGTACTGTGTACCAACAGATTGTTAAAACCAAATATTGGGTTTCTTCAATAGTATTCTCAGGACTGATAAGAATATTTAAAATATTTCTGTTCAGGTAAGTTCAATGTAGCAAGAAACTTGCTGATAATTGTTATGAACATATTTTATGTAGCATCTTTTCTCTCATGTATGACTTTAATATTTTCAGCTGTTTTTGTCATCAAGAGCTCGAGGGTACAGCTATGTCTGCCAGACTGTGGATTATTCAGATAATGTTTATGAAGTTAGGGTGAGTATTTCTTTTTTTGTATTTGTATATGAATGTGTGTAACACTACATGATGGTTTCAGTCTTGTCTGAAAATAATATGTACAAAGTTCTGCTGTCAGCCATGACTCTATCCCGTTATATTCTCACAGGCTGCTTCAGGTTTGACTAGGTTGCACATAGCAGGTTTAATCAAAGTGCATCAGTGTATTTGCATAAACTTTCATCTGACTGCTACAAGTAAGGGTAGTCTTAAAGATACCATCCTTGGCATCATCTGCGGTTGTACAATCCAGGATAAACTTTGTGTACATACTTCGGTTCCTAGACCTTGCTGCAGTTGATGATACCAGGGTAACCGCAGTAAAGGTGTAGTGGTCTAGCTAGATCAAAGCAAGTAAGATCTGTCAGCATATATTGTGGTTGCACTTCACTCATACTGGTGAGGCAACTTTTTGTCTCCTTTACCCGTGTTTGGCTTCATGAGGTCTTTCTGGCTTCTGGCAAGTGTATTATCAGTACATTTCATTGCAGAAGCTTAAATTTCAAGTGTGGTTTTCTGGAAAGAATTCAAATTAAAATCAAAGTGCAGATGCTTGTAAATTTCTGTAACGCTGTTGATTAGCTCATGTATTAAACCTTATCTTCTGGCAGAGCTGACACTTGAGAATCTCTCAGCTGTTCTTGCAAGTTTCACCTACAGATTAGAACATGTTCCTGAAAATGTAATGAAAGTGTGTTATTATAGACTAAATACATTTAATATTTAGAACACATTTCGAAAACTGTCTGTCTACAAGGTGGCTGTTCATGGGTAGTATTACTCAAAAGCTTGTGCACATGATGGAGGAAGTAGTGAGAAGAATAGATTTGAGTCTTACACCTTATGTGTAACGGCTGATATTGCAGAACAGCTCTGTGTGTAGATTTTGACTGGCCTGATGATAGTGGCTTATCTTTCGCCTTTGCCAATACTGTGCACTCACTATTTTGGTCACTAGAATACTTCTGTTAATAATTTTGTTTAAGAACAAAATCTAGCCAAGTATAACAAATGCTTGACAAGGTATTTTTCAATATATAAGCAAAACAGAATGCCCTTGTACTCAGCTGGATGACATTGAGGACTAGTATGGCATATATTGAAGGAATTTTTATATTAGCTAAGTACAAGAGGTAATGACTTTTAGTATGCAAAAATCCTGTTTCATAGCCTCACTTTTAGGTGCACTTGTTTGTGGGAAGCTGTGGAGGGGCCAGACCTGTTCAAAAGAATGATCTTCTGGGGTTTTTTATAACGAAAAACAAAGCATTATTATACAATGAAATAAAGGCAAAATTACCTGCACAATGTATTTATTGCATATGAGATGTCCAGAAAAGGAAGGTTGCTCTAGCAATATCTACTCTTTGAATTTCCTGACTTTTTAATTTTTTTTGTAAACTTGTGGAGTTGCATAAACATTAGAAATAAAGTTTTAAGTTACAGCATGTTCAGTTTGCAACAGAGAGTTGAGGAAGCAGGGAAAATGAGTTCTTTCAAGCTGTTGCAGCAGCTGTATAGTATGTTATCAGTCAAGACCCTTATTTTGATCATTATCTGGTAGTTATTTTGAATGAATTCTCAATTTAAGTAAAGAATTTGCAAATAGAAAACTACTTTCCAGAAGTGTACTTTGCCTAACTAAAGAGTCTAGGATACATTTCTGGCCTGCTTCACAGTGTATCATGCTCTTCATTTAGAAGGTATGTTGTTTTGTTTTGACACGGTAGACAAAAAAAACCCCAACAAAACCTCCTGAAGATTCCTTTCACCATCGTGTTTATTAATATAAACCTGCAAAAGCAGTTTTAAAATGTAAGTAAATGTGGGGTGCTTTTTGCAGTTTTCAGTTTAAAATTGATAAATCTTGTAGCACACCTCTCACACCTTTTAACAGATCTACATACTAAATGTCTAGCATCTATTGGCACGGGGTTTTCCTCTGAAGAGGAATGCTGCACTGCAACTGTAGAGTTAATTACAATTGCAATAACTTTATTTGTAAGAGCATCAGTAAATAAGTCCTGTATTAGTCAGATAAAGGAGACTGGCACTAATTCAAATGGAGACAGCACTGAGCCCAGAAAGCATTATGGAACATGCTCTGGAAAGGAGTAGCTTCATATATGACATTATTGTGGGGCTTAGAAAGCTGGAACAAATACTGAAAAACGCGAAACTAATTGCATATGGAGGTCTAAATGGCAACATGGAAGCCCTGGTATGACCTCTGTTTCTGTCTTTTTGGGAATGTGCCATTATGATGTTGTGGTGTAGTGGCCCCTTTTGACCAAAGCTCCTGCTCAAAATGAGAGGTCAAGAAACCATCTTTTGTTCCTCAACGGAGTACAGAAAGCAAAAGTCAACAAGTGTTTCGCTATGCTGGATGCCAGAGAATGTCTTTCCTTTCCTCTCCAACCCACATCATGTAAGACAGTAAGCAGATGGTGATTTCAAGGGAAATACCCTGGCTGTTGTTCTAGAAGAGGCAATGGATGACTGCAGAAAGCAGTAATGGAAACTTCATTCCATAGTTGCAGGGCATGGAAATTAGATTCCACAGGTGCAGAAATATTTGCAGAAATAAACTCCTTTCTAAAGCACTTATCTTCTGGGTGTAGTAGGTAGGCACTTACTGACTGCTGGCAGGAAGTTGAGGAGTGTGTTTTGTAATTGGTTATATAAAAAACAAAATGTTCATAGTAGACAAGAAAGAAAAGGGGGAAGAAATCCCCAAGAAGTGATTTTGAAGGAGCTGCATCTGCATCTTCGAAGAACTTTTTTGGTTATAGCTTAGGAGTCAAAATAATAAACACAAAGGGCTGAAGTGTTAAATCCATGTTTTGTAGTACTCCCTTGGAAGCTCCGGTATTTGGGAGTGAACAATTTCCTAACACTAACTTAAGGCATGTTAGTGCCTGTGAATAGTCACTTTCTCCCTCTGCTTAGATTTGTGTGTCTTTATCTCCCAGGTCAAAGTTCACCTATTTTATTAGCATTTCTGAAGAGCTGAGAATTAGGAATCTGGGCCTGTGTGAATTGGTTCCTAGTTTTAAGTGTGATGACTGTAATTGTAAAGCTGACCTATGGTTGTCTTCTGTATTGTAATTGTAATCTGCATTGTTTTTATTTATGTCTAGAGCTTGAGTAGTTTCCTCTTACGAAATAAATATAAAAATAATTTACTTTAAACGTCTGTGAAAAGGGAATTTGACTTAAGAAAATAGACTTCATGGTCCTGTAAATAAAATTTTA